CAAACATTCATGGCTAATCGACTGTAATATCTGATTTCGAAGAACACTAACAACATAAGATGATGAATTAAAATTTTTATGGCACATTGCGCGGCGTTTATCACAGCTGGGTAATAGATTTAAGGTGGATAAGAGAAACATATCGCAAGTAAAATATTAAAAAGTTAAAAAGAATTATATAACGAGTCTAACTGATAAGATATACAGCGTTTACTTCAGAATTTTTTAGATTTTTAGGGCAAGAGGTACGAATTGAATTTGCACTTCGAAGGATTCTTGTTGAGGCGGATGACAGAATTTCTGTGTTATTCAGTGCGTCAAAATGGCACAACATGTTTGTTCCCGCTCATGGTGGTTCGTGACATTCAACGTACCAGCCTCTCCCTCTACTCACTATTCACTCGATGCAAAGCAATTTGCGTTCGCTGCATACCTCTTAACTTCGATATTGTCTAGAAGGTTTGTTTTAAAGCATTCAATCTTGAATATGCAGATCGGGAGGAAATCACGGCGTAAGGAGGTGATATTCTTGCTTGCATGAATTCTCGAACTGTCTCTCTTCAGACGTCAAATCTTAACCTCGCTGAATGGTACCAGCCCTTGCTTCATGAAGAAAAGGCTTTCAGAAATCAGTAGGCTAAGATATTTAGTTGACTTCAATCAAACACGTATGGAATCATGCCGACGCCGTTCATTTGAGTCAGGTGCACTTAGCTACAACTGAGGTGCTTCTGATTATCAATGGTATTTCCCAATTCGGAAAAATGAGGGGCCTGCGAATAAATTAGCGTCATGTGGTGCACCGTAATATTTGTGAAAGTCAGCAACACTATATATTAGTCCCTCACCTGCCACGTCATCTGCTTACTATATCCACTTGGCTTCCTCGACACATCTCATTCGTTAATGCATAGGGTAAATAATAAGGCACACAGAAGGGATTTTTGTGCTTTTCATAAATTGTTTTGCATTACGGCGTCTTTCTCTTCCCCACATACGTCTTTCGAGTAGACAAGTAATTGACGATTCAAGGATTAGTGAATTAGTTGATTTTTGCATTTCTATTGCGTATGCGATAGGCGATGTAGTTCGATAATACTGAATTCTGAACTCAGACGTAGAAGTGAGGATCAAGCAGCTTTAGTTTGTTTCCGGTTTCTTTTTCACAGACCATGGTAAACCTCCTCTACAAGACACACCAATGCCGAGCTAAGTCCCCCTTGTAAGCGAATTACCAGTCATCTAGCCTGCCAATCATACACTGCTTAAACATACCAAAGATTAGCTACTCTAGCTATTTCAGTGACAATGAGGTCTCTGCTACTGAGCGGATTGTGTCCGTCCGGCCTGCTTTTTCCAAATTGAGATTAGTCGTTCTGTTCACCAGAATCACTCATTGTGGTCTCTTATAAGCGCGCTTTAGCTATATCGACAAATGCGCCACTCATCAACGAAAGATTCCCCAGAACGATCAAATAAACACATTGGTGACTGATACTGAAAACGAAGTTTCGAAACTTTTGACTGAACCATGTCAGACGTTAGAAGAGGCTGCATATTGTTCTTGTGCTTGTTCTTGTTCTTGTGCTTGTGCCAAACTGATCGACAGGAGCACTGAAGAGTTATGGGAACGGAATTTTTCTAGATTCTAATTACATAACGCCTTCCGCTACAGATCGTGTTGGACTGGCGTCTTTTCTTTTCTTCTGGTGCATTGCTTTTGTTGACGAAGGAAACACACCCATCATCCATACGCAAAATACCGACAAGCGACCGTCTGCAATGACCGGTAAGCTTAGCGATGGTGAATGTGCTTAAAGCAATTAAGCTGACACGGCTCCTCAAAAACATGGTCAAATATACAATAATCACAAAAGAACAATTGAACCCGAACAGTGTGTATAAACTGCCATTTACGTTTTCATGAAACGCTGCAGTTACTGGCAAAATGAAGCGAAGAATCGGTTCGAATGAGATATTTGATCTTCAGTCCCAATCGCTGATATGCAGTAAACGTTCTAACCATGAAAGTATGAACTTTTAAATCTTACTGCAAAGGAATTTTTGCCATATGAGTTATAGTCCCACGTTCCATATGCTTTACCTGTCGTTTCGCATATCGTTTTCTTGGAAATGTAGCCTTTGCCAGTATTGGTTTATGCTTGTACAATTTTCGCGTAGCGAGGAACCCCTTACCTGAGGTACGCACAAGATGTGAAGCTAATTATCATTGCTTCCTTAAAGTTATTTGGCGATGACTTGAGTGCCATTCGTTTTGCTGTTGAGGATGACAAATTTTCAGTATACAAAACCTAGGCAAAAGGAACAAACCACTGTGGAAAGTCTAGCAATTTCCAAAATGTACAAACCGAAATAGCCGGAATACGTGGATATGGTGTCGTGTGTGGTTTTGAAGACAAGCACGGGCAAATTAGAAGGCTCAGTCTGAGTTTACTCGTCGATGATCATCCGGGCATGAAGAAAGTCATGTTCATTTGCATGTAATAAGTGCGGAAGCAGACCGGTATGTGTGTACTGATCTTCCTATTCATAGGCGTTAGTCCTGTTGTTGCCTTCCTTATGATTTGTTGTCCGCCCTTTATCCAATCAACCGTTCGGTCATATCGATAGGCCGAATTGGTGACAGCGATGGTGAAGCCTACGTCTGATGTCAGTCACTCAATTTCTACAGTTCCTGCAATGGTCAGTTTCCAAAAAAATCACAGAAAAATTGTAAAAATAATGCTCCCTAATGGAACCTCACAAATTAAATTAAAAGGGGTTTGAAAACAGTTGAAGCTCCTTCAAGTTGAAGTTAAAGCGAGGCTTCAATTTTTCAAGGCTTAAGGCAATGCAATCTCTAAAGAGATTCAAGCAGAAGGATCCTGCACGGTGCATCAACATGGAGGTACGGTGGTGCATGACAAGGTCCACTTCGAACTACTCAGGTGATGGCTGGTTGTTTCTGTTTTGTCGTAATTATCTGAGATTAACAAACCTTATCAGAGGTTGACAGCAGAGTAACCTAGATTCATGATGTCTGGCCGTTAGGAACGGTACGTTAGATTGATATTTAGCAAACCTTATTGCCATGTTAAAGGTCATATTGCTCATGTCAAGAAGGTCGGCCACAACGAGGTGTCCCCACATTTTGTATTGTATTCCAACGAATCTGTGACCAGTGGGCGGTTCCTAAGCGAGTAAAGCTTGGGGTACACTTCCATTCTTAAACTGGACCGTTTTATCAAACCAGCGCAAGTTCCGGTCTTTGAATTTGCCTGACTGATTTCTCAGACCGGTAGTCCTCAGCATCTGCTCGTTCGTAACTGTAAGGTTGTACCACGGCACTTTGAAGATGCTGTCTGACAGCTGTCTAAACGAGCTTCATGACGTTTCATGCCAATAAATATTTCAAGGCTACGCATGAGCACCACGAATGATGATCTTCGTATCTGTCATTACAGGTTGATCCTTCTCTATGTTATGTAGCCTGCCATAATTCGCTGGTGTCATCCGATATGTCGATTTTCTTCAGGATGATTGCAGCCATCAGTACTCAATGCAGCACCGAGGTACTTCAAACGTTCCACTTCGTCCATCGTAATACCTTAGCATAATATACTTTGACTGCCTGTCGCTTTCGTAACCTTCGTCCTTTCCGCACTGCTCTCATAACAATGCTGCTCCCACTTTCAGGGAGTGTAAGTGTGGATCATTTGCGGAGTCGCTCAGCAGCACCTCGTCGACATGCTCAAGGTCCGTTAGCAGCACTGCGAGGTACCTGGAACTGCGTCGCTGACTAATGTTTAGGCCCTCAATAATATTGAAGACGTACTTCCGCACGTAGTTAGCCGTGATCTAGAAATACGAAAGAGGGAGTACTTCGTCTTGACGAATTCCAGTGGTAATGTTGAGCAAGTCCGAAAATGATCCTCCAGTTCGAACATCGCATTTAGTTTTCTCCTACAGAACTTCTATCAGGTTTAACATAGAAATGGAATGCGTAATCCGTAACGCGCCTGCGGAATCCAGGAGCGACGAATAACACGCGACACTTCTTTGTGATGAACCGGATCGAACCCTGTTCGAAAATCCAGGAGCATCATATGCCAGGGAATTTTGAAGCTCCAGCACCGCTCAGTATTGTCCGTTAATGAATGTCTCACTTTCCAGGCCTGCTTAGTTAGTTCATAACCAACCGACGATCGATGGATTCCCATAGTCATCGAAAAATGATTCCCGCGAAGATCTTCTCCAGCACCGGCAGAGGGAGATTTCTCGATAATTGGTGCAGCTGCGACGACTTCCAATCTTGAAGATCTGGACTATCAGGGCTTCTTCTTATCTTCAAGGATCACAAAAAAACCAGGCTTGTCGAGGAGCTTTGAAAAGTGCTGGGCCAATCGTTTCCGACGACCATCAAGGTCTTGCAGAAATCTTTTAAAAGATTTAGGTTTCAGACATTGCGGATTGTGTCAAGTTTGCCACCCATAATATGCAGACGCCAAGACAGCAGCATATATAATTCGTTAACATAAAAATGACAATAGTTTAGAGTGACTTCAAGCTACTAGTAAGTCATATTTAGAAACAAACAATCAATCCTGTAGGATTTTATTTTGCTAGTTTTACTTTATTCAGTTAACCAAAACAACGGTTACATGTACCTATGATTTAATATATATCGAAACTGAATTAAAACGGTTAAACCGTACAGTTTAAAGAACAAAAATTCAGTCTTAGGTTACACCGACACTGCAGCGGTAAAGGCAAATGAAAATCTAACAGTAGGAAATACCACAATATTGCTCCACCCCATTCCTTCTAGTAGTCTAGCGGACCGTCTTAGCAGGTCATGGCTACGTGGTATCTAAGCGCCTGCAGGCATAGGATGCAAGACCGCGACTCTTAATTGGGTTGAACAAAGAAAAAATGTTCAAGCCCAAATGCCACGATCCGTAGACGAAGAAATGAAAACAACCCCGATGTTCTGGGATAGACTCCAAAGTGGAGTTTTCGATACCCCCGTCGATACATAGTATTGTGCTTATGATCAATGATTTGTTTGAATGTATCCAAAAGAACAGAAAAGCGCATTAAAAGAAGATTTCATAATAATGAGGTTATTACTTCATCGTCATTCTAATGATACGAAATTCATTATACATTTCAGTAATCCAAATTTAAAACTTTTATTACTGTAATATTGATTGCTAGGCAAACAGTTCTAACTACTTATAGCTAAGCACTCGTTTTCCGATTGGCGCGCTTAGCTTCTGTCTGGATAATTTCGGTAACCTATTTTTTCTTAATTAATTTTTGATTTTTTTAGATTGGTGAAGTTCTTGATATTACTTTTAATACAGTTTGTGTAAAATGACGTTAATTAGTTGAATCGAATTAAATTTTTAATGCAAAACATGATTTCATACCTTCTTTAGGCTGACTTTCGTTTAATCACCGTTTCAGCACTCAACCCTGCACCTGTTTCATAATCCTTTAAGTATCATTTATAATTTTTATGCAATGCGTTTTTCTCAGTGCTCAAATCTCGTAAACGACAATATAAATATTAATTTGACGTACTTATAAGTACGCTTTTGTACAAGTGGATTTAGTGAATCACCAGCCCTTTCTTCGTGACTTCTGTTGTCGATGGTCTTCGAGTAATGATCCCTCCCGTGTTCTCATTTCGCGTCTGTTTAGGAATCTATCTGACGTAGTCACATATCTGTCATTTTAACCTTTCTTATATGATGCCTAAATCCTAAGTTCAGCTTCTACCACATCAACGTTGTTCGAACGTGATAACGGTGTACAGCTGAGTCTATAGGTTCTGACTGGCTTAGCTATGATGTGAGATCGTAAAAAATATACATGACCAAATGGAAGAGACAACACTCACCAAGCCACCTGGCCAGCGTGGTGAGTAATCTTCACATTTTTCAGCATTACCTCTTCTACATATCTGCCTCTTCCAGTTGAGAATTTTCAGGAAACACTAAAGGTCACTGCTGATCAACCAG